GAGGTACCTACTATCTCCCACATCAGCTCATATGCAGAAAGAACTTGAATTTAGCAAACCATGCCACGTAAGCTCTAGCCACCAAGGCTTGGGCAGATGGAAAGAAATCACCTAGTATTATTGCTTCCGCTGGGAATTGATTATGAGACCCTAAATATACAATATCATGGGGCTAAAATCTAGAGAACCCTCCTGCATGGTAGGGTACTTAGTTTGTGCTGGCTGACTTTTGACAGGTTCAATTACCTAAACAGTTAGAAAGGAGAAATTGCTTCGTTCTTCCAAGAAGATCAAGTTTAATAAATGTATTAGTACATGAATGTTTTCCTATACTTCATTTTACCTTCCTAATAAGTATCAGAAGCATCAGTACTCATTAAATTGATGGTGAATCATTACCTCTTGCCCGCCTGCCGATTTCGGAAAATGGTGCTGGGCTCTGCTCCATCTCTTCTTCAAATGAAATCACCCTGATCAATACTGATAAACAATTAGCATACGATTAGTTATGCCCACATGATCGAAAGAAACACAGTTAGTTAAGTGAAGCATACAATTAGTTATGGAAGAAATACAGTTTTTCTCCCATTATGCATAAACCATAACCAAAATCAAGCAACATGAAGTTTTGCATTTGCAGTAGACAAATTTGGACCATTAACAAATTAAGTGAAATTATTTCTCTGTTTTCTAATCTCACTAATACGGCCTTCCTTCAACTAGTTGTATGCCCTTGCTCGTTCACAAGCAGAACAATCCTAAGAGAATATCTACAAAAATAAACCATATACAAGCTCGTTCTCGATGAAAACAGAATCACAAGGTATCCAAAAGAACACAAAATGAAATTATTCTGTTCCAATTTTAACAACACTTAACATATTTAAACTTGCAAGCAACTTCGGGCCTGACATGAAAAATTGAGTTATAATATCATAAAATTGAAATTTCATTTCTTTTCTTTTCTCTAAATTGATAGAAGGAATTGAAATTTCTTTAAGTACCTCATAGGTTTCAAATTCACAAATACTTCTCCACGGTCAGCAATGTCTATCTTGGTATCAATTTCCCCATGAATATTATAAGCCTAATATATATTTTTTTGACTATCTAAGCATAATATTACACAAACAGACATATTAATCCCAATCTCCATATATTTTTCTTCCTTTCCAGAACAAGTACATTGAAACTATTACTAGTGAAACTTCAAACAAGATTGTCTAATGTAAACCCCATTTTGTTGATATTACTATAAGCGGCATTTCAATTATTCGACTACCTAAATGCATCAAAACAGTAATATCTATTGGAAGTCAATGCAATCCAAGGAAAACCATAACTGAAACCCAACCCCACAAATTCTATAGGCCTAATACATATCTTTGACTATATAAGCTACTATTACACAAAAAGCAATCTAATTAAACCCCCAATTCAAACTCCATACATTTTTCTTCCTTTCCAGAACAAGTACATAGACATTACTAGTAAAACTTCAAACAAGATTATCTCCTATAAACCCCATTTTCGTTATATCACTAAATAAGTGTATTTTCAATCATTTCACAACCAAAAAGCATCAAAACAGTAAGACCCCTATTAGAAGTCAATGCAATCAACTATCAATCAACCAAACAAAACCTAAAACTAACACCAACCCACCTCAACCCACACACAAAACAATCAAATACAACTAACAGATTTTGTATAGAACCATTGGATTAAAAAAAATTCAATTTTCAAGATTAACAGTAAGTATCAAATAAAAACTTAAATCTTTGAAACCAAAAAAAAAAAAAAAAAAAAACCCAAAAACAGAGAGAGAGAAATGGGTTTTCGCTAACCTTTTTGATTCTCGACAGAGACCCAGAAATCGCCGTCGAGATTTGGGGTGCGCAGAAGAAAATGACTGAACCTTAGCTTAAACCTCTTAACTCTGTCTCTTCAATACCTGAGGGGTAGATTTGTCATTTATCATTTCCTCATATTTGGACCTTGGGCTTGGGTCTAATATGATGAATGAGCCCATATTGTGTTTTTAGAAAGACACCAAATTATAATATTATTTATAAAATATAGTTTTAAATTATAATGTACAATAATTTATTGGAAACACAACATAATTAGATTGGCGTATTTAGAATTTTGAGATCATGGGTGCACTATTACGAAAAAGTGGATCTAAGATATAAATTTAATTGATATCTAGGTTCTTATCAATAAAAATCATTAAAATTATAAAATTATAGGTCCAAAATTAATAGAAAGAAAAATAAAACAAGATATATACAAGAATCAAATTTCTAACATCACTTAAAGAGGTGAACTCAATCATTATTTCTTCGAATGTGGGTTCACACATCTATATTTAAAAATTCGAGAAAATGACCAAAAGCCCCCCAACCTATAGCCGGATTCCCAACTACACACTCATACTTTACGGGGGTCCTATTACCCCCCTGAACATTTTTTTTTTACTAATTTTTTCACCCTTATTTGCTGACATGTCCAAGAAGGTGAGACCAACTCCCTTAGGCGCGTAAGAACAAAAAATAAAACGTTAAAAGATGAAGAAAACTACACATGTGAGTCCAAATCAGCTATATTAAATCTCCAATGGTATAATCTCATCTCTCCCAAAATCAAACTCTCTTTTTCTTCCTTTTTTTCTCAATTCTTCTAATAGTTGACAGATCTCCAACGGTATATTCCTTCATTCTTTCCCAAATCAGCTTAAAACTTGAATTTACTTGTCAAAGCATTCAATTGTAGTTTCAATTTCGAAAAAGCTTGAAGCTTTAGGGCTTGTAATTTCTCTGATTTCATAGTTATGGTTCAAAAAAATTCTTCAATGGAATGCTATTATACCAAAACCCAGTTATTGCTCTTCATTTTTTTGTCAATTTCATAACCCTAATCAAACACAATAATCAATATCGTTCAAAATCGCTAGTAAAGAACTAAAAGAACTAACCTTTACTTAGAGAAAACTTCGACCCAACAAACGAAAAAAGCTAACCGAACCTTCCCCAACCTTCCCCAAAAATTTTCGATTGGAACGAAATCTCAGATCAAAGAGAATGGGGGTGAATTTGGTTAGATCGAAAAAAGGTTATGGTTTAGAGAAAGAAAGAGGAAAATGAAAAGATTAAAGGAAATTCGTGGGTTCTGGGGTCCAATCATTATGTGGCAGCGCGTGTAAACAAACATTTAATTATATCTGGTTTATGTGGATACGTCAGCAAATAAGGCTGAGAAAATTAGTAAAAAAAAATGTTCAGGGGGATAATAGGACCCCCGTAAAGTATGAGTGTGTAGTTGGGAATCCAGCTATAGATTGGGGGGGCTTTTGGTCATTTTCTCTAAAAATTCTTTTGAAAATACAACACTACTAAACATAATTACAGGAGAGGGCATCTGCATACGCCTTGATTAGACAGACTTCACTCTCATATATACTAACTTTCAAAATATTACGTATTTTACCACTAATTATGAGTTTTTTTTACTATATATTGAGAAAGATACACTTAGATACATGTATTTTTGTTACCATAAACACTAAAATAGGAAGAGAGGCGAGCGAGATAGGGAGGAAGGCGAATGAGACTTTGTTATATATCTCAGATACCAAATACATAAGAGAGTGGCAAGCGAGATGGGAGAGAGGCAAGGAAGACGAGCAAGATTTGTTATGTACCCTAGATACATGCGAATCCATTTGAATACAATGTATCTAGAACAAATTTCACTGATGTATCCTGAAATAAATGTATTCGGACGTATCTAGACGCACCAAAATCCAGTAATATACATAACATGTGATGCAGAAAAAGAATCTCGAACTCTTTAATTTCTAGAAGTCAATTCAATCAACTTCTATTATTGCATGTAACACCTAATAATGAATCAGATACCTGAGAAAGTCAGCATCCAACTATGTGATGCAGAAAAGGACCAAGAATTTGATCAACTTGGATCAAAACCAGTTTTATATGGCTGAACCAAGACCATCATTATATTATATTCCAAACCATTGAATCCACAATTCTTTGACACCATAATCTTTTGTTAACCACAACTTATAAGTGCATAACCCATTGATTTGATTTATTGAAAAACCCAAACCAACCCAACTTATGTACACCTTTAGTTAGGGGTGTACATGGCCGGGTTGGTTCGGGTTTTTCAAATATCAAACCAAATCATTTGTGTCGGATTTTTAAATTTATAAACCAAATCAAACCAATAAAACTCGGATTTTTCAACCTCGGGTTTTTTCGGGTTGTTTCGAGTTTTTCCGGTAAAGTATTCATACAAACATATAATTTACTTGTATTTCAAATATTTCTTTAGTCCTACCAAAATACAACTATTTAAGATGTTTCTTAAAAATATAATACAATATGATATGATTAATGACACTAAAATATCCAACAAAAATAATAATAATGAAATCGCGTAAAACAAATATTGCAAATTAACAAGTCATAATGAAAATGATCATAATTTAAAAGTACTAAATCATGCTAAAATTAAGTTTAATAAGTATTAGTTACATGACTAAATATTAAAGGAAATTAAAATTAGATTATGTATATATATAATGTCAAATTGGTTTGGTCTCGAGTTGATTTTTTTTAGTTAAAACCAAACCAGCCCTAATATAGTCGGGTTTTTTTTTTTCAAAACCAAACCAAGTCAAACCAAACCACTAATCGGGTTTTTTTCGGGTTGACTCGATTTGCAGTTTGGTTCGGTTTTCGGTTCGGTTTTGTACACCCAACCTTTAATTGTGAATGAAGGAAGTTTTTGGAGAAAAAACAACTAACGTTTAAAAAATAAAAATAAAAAGCTCTTGAGCAACCACCAAACGCTTAAATAACTTAGCCCAATGAGAGAATAAAAAATAAACTGTGGCATACTGCATAAATGTCACTCCAGTTTTCATCAACCCAATCAAATGACTCATTCATGTGCCAAAGATAAAACATACAAAAAGAGAAATCAACTACTCCATCTGCTGTCAAAATTGGTGAACAAAACTACATTTATGAGTACATAATACCAGTAATAATTACTAAATCAACGACGAAACAAAAGGCATTCTGCTGATATCCAATCATCTGTTTGCTCAGACGTTAACCTCTTAATAATCACGTCAGACGTCTATGGTATAAAAATGCCCAGAGGCTGCTCGTGATCATCGATTAGCACCTAAGGGAAGAGTGGAGCTTCTGTTAACATCAAGGTGCCAATTAAAAGAGGTACGCAAGGATCACGGATGCACAACCTGTTCTGGTTAATCATCCAAGTAATAATAAGATCCAGCTGACTTCTGCTCCCTATCCTTGGTTGATTCCAGTTTGTTGATCCTTGGACGGAAATTAGTTGGGTCCCTTCGAAATGTAATGTTCAGATGCTGCACACAATTTGGATAGCACACACATCAATAAGAACACGAATCCAATCAACATATCAGATCAGAATATAAAAGCTAGTGCAGTAAGTCTAAACAACATTTGTTTTGATTGAGAAAATATGTGCTACACGACGAGATAAATCTTGGAGTAATGAATATGTTAGTAAGAGAACTTTTTAAGTAATGACGCAAGATATATGCAGAAGGCTTACTGATAAAAATAAGTTCATTCCAGTCAACAGTGATTGAGGTGCATTTGCAACACAATCTATGGAAGGCGTCCCCTCATATACAATGACTCTATCTGCCAGGTAAGTTGCCATTATAAAGTCATGCTCTACAACAAATGCAGTCTTCTTTGCGTGAAGAATGAATCTCTTGATGACTTTAGAAGCTACAATACGTTGCTCAGAATCAAGATAGGCACTTGGCTCATCGATCAGATATATATCAGCGGGCTGCACGGAGTTAAGTGAGTAAGTTAGGTTACAATTTATAAATACATCACTAGAGTAAACATGAGTGCAATAGTCTTCATATGATTCCATTGCAGACAAACTTGGCTCTTCATCTACCCTTCACTATAAATAGTACCCCTATCTAAATGGCTTTAGAGTAACGTGATAAAACATATTTTTTGCAACATGTTTATAACTGTGCAGTAAGAAACACAGATTTTCAATGATATTATAGCACATGGTTAGACTTATTTATAAATAACAAAATGGAGGCAGAGAAGCAGCAAGATGCAATACGGATATTAACTACCCAACGCAACCCACGATGCAAATAGAAATTTCTAGCTGGTTTTGTCAATTAACTTGGCAAAACCCTCAACATGACACCCTACACTAGGGAAGAAATAAAAACAACCTTAAAAAAAATGTTAAAGCATCAAACAAACAGATGGAGAGACCATTTGCATTGTTGGATCAGATACCTTTACATTGCAATAAGAGCTAACTTGAGGAAATTTCATTAATAGAGTACCAAGAAGGTACTGCAAAATACAGAAAAACACATTAACAAGGCTGTTACAGCTCCACCTCTAATATATCCAAATTAGGATAGCTAACATTTGCAAGGCCATTCCGCAAAAGTAGGATACAATAAAGTAAAATAAAGAGAAGGAAAAAAAAAAAAAAAAAATACTAACGGAAAAAGAGGCCCAGTATCTGTCATAGAGAGCCAAAAAAAGAAAAAAGAAGGCAGACTACTGCAATTTTCTACTTTTGGTGTACAGAACATTGTATACAAAATGTTGAACAGTTGGTAGATCTTTTAGGATTACTATAACTACTTTCTTGTTTTAGCTTGTTGCCACCTTTTTTGAGGTCTCCCCGCATACCTTAATGCTGAGGAATACAACATTACCAGTTTTTCAAAAAAAAAAAAAAAAGATCATGTTTGATTGGACCAAGACATCTACCAGATCAATGTACAAAACAACCAAAGCAGCAGTTCTACAGAATGGGAGAAAATTACCTTTCCAAGGCACAGGGCTAAGGCAACTCTTTGCAACTCACCACCAGAAAGATTCACAACTTCTTGGTCCATCAATTGCTCAATTTGGAGAGGCTTCATCACATCTGAACAAAACTGGGGGTGTTGATAAGAATCACGTATTTTTTGATGTAGCAAATGCCTCACAGTGGATTGAAATTTTGGACTAATTTTCTGGGGCTTGTATGAAACATTGAACTCTGGTATGTCAATATCAGATCCTTCCACCACGTCAGGCTTTAATAGACCAGCCTGCAGTATACAGAAACACAAGTGGAAGAGTCATTGTAACACAGAAGACTGTAAACAGCAGCAATTTCAGACATGACGTATTTGTGAAACAAACATACCAGCATGCGAATGAAGGTAGTCTTCCCAGTCCCATTCTCACCAAGCATCACAACAATCTGTGAATCAGTAAATTCACCCTCGGCAACCTTAAGCTTGAAATTACCCTGAGTCTTTGTCATGGTTGGATATTTGTAACGTGCATATGATTCAATTTCCTCAGCAGCCTCTTGTGGGGTCTCAGCAACCTAAGAAAATGTTATCGTTCAGATAATATTTTTGCCATGACATGTGGGTAATACAAAAATCTGAGTCCTACCTTAAAAGTAAGAGACTCGTCACGGAAACGTAGATTTTCTGTAGGCACAAACCCAGCCAAAAATATATTAATTCCTTCCCTGACTGAGAAGGGTAGGGTCACAACTCCATATGCACCAGGCTTCCCATATAAGCAGCAAATGAAATCCGACAAATAATCAAGCACACTAAGATCATGCTCCACAACGATGACATAGCTGAAACATTGAAGATCATTTCAGTATGCGGACTAATAAATAAAATTCTTGATTGTTGAAAAGTCAGAAGAGAATGGACTAGAACCTATTTGGTCGAAGCAAGGATCTGACAACTTGGGCAGCTTTAAGCCTTTGCTTCACATCAAGGTAACTTGAAGGCTCATCAAACATGTATATCTCTGCATTTTGTATTGCAACAACAGCAATAGCAAACCTCTGAAGCTCTCCACCAGATAGATCACCTACATTACGATCCAAAACCTGATTCAGCTCTAGATCAACACAGAGTTTTTCCTTCACGTCTCTCTCATCTTTTTGGTCAAGCACTTGTCCAACGTTTCCTTGAACTGCCTTTGGAATATGATCGACATACTGAGGCTTGATAATTGCCTGTTTGAAGAAAGGTTCAAATTACAAATGAGTAAAATACTACATGGTCAAGAGCAAAGGTGATTAGACGCAACAAATAACGAGGTAAAGAAAAAAATACATCTTTTTTTTAAAAATAAGGTAACTAGTAAGAAAAAAAAATATCTTGACGTAGAATGGGGTGATGAATTTTAAAATTTAAGTTGCTCAACAATTCTTTGAATGATGCATTCAATCATTATCTTGGAGCAGTTGAGTATCCTTAATTACTCGGAACGGCAATGGCCTACTGAATATTTTATTCAGATGTAGCGGGTGGTCTTGCTGCTCCTAGTAGAAAAAAGGATATGCCAGAATTCTACACAAGTTACGGACACTGCCGTACTACAATCGAAAATCATAAGAGGTATAGTTACGACATAGAGTTAGGTGAATAACTAGTAATGATTTGACCAATCACAATGGTACAGAAAAAGAAAAACCTTTTCTGGAGAGTTACAATGCTCTCCCAGTCAGACAACTAAATCCATTGTGCTGTAAATGTTTTGTTTATTCAAACATTACGCTGGTACCCCCCCCCCCCCCGATTAAAAGGAGCAAGAGGCATTATGTATATCCAAAGGTGAGTGATACACACAAAGAAACCAACTCAAAAGACGGGACATTTAGGAGAGCTGAAACACTTAATCAGAAGTCACCTTTAAGTTATCTTCCAGAATGCGAGTGAAGTAGTTCTGCAGTTCGGATCCTCGAAAGTGAGTCAAGATTTCTTGCCAATCAGGAGGGTTCTGCCACAGAAGGATTAAAGAAAGCATAAGCAAGTTGTATGGACATGAATTGACTAGTGATGGCAAAAGAGTAGTACTGTGAAGCGCCCCAAGTTTGGTTTCAATTTTCCAGCCAAAACTTTTAGGGCAGTTGACTTTCCAATTCCATTTGTGCCAACCAGACCAAGAACCTGTCCTGGCCTAGGGACAGGTAACCTGCAACAATGTTTCAAGAAATAACTTTATAAACAGATATTTGATTAGCAAAAGACTTCTCAAGAAGAGCTGCAGCTTAAACAGACCTGTGCAATTTGAAAGTGTTGGGACCATAACGATGGGTTGTATCCTTATCTAGATCTTTTGGCAGATTGATGATCTGAATTGCTTCAAATGGGCATTTCTGTATTAACAAATAAATTATCAGTCAGCCAGCATAATGATCAATCTGCAGCAAAATGTATCCCCACATTTGCGATATATACAAACCTTTACACAAATACCACATCCAATACACAGCTCTTCTGAGATGAAAGCAATCTTCGAGCCTACAGTGACCTCTATACATAACTTACCTGCAAAACGAAAGCATAATTGACTGAAGAAGACATATCTTAACGTTACCATATAATGAAAATACGCAAACATATTTCCCTGATATACGAAGTAATACTACAATCAGTTATACATACTCCATAAATTGATTATTTGATTTGTCAGTCAATCAACTACACCTCGATCCCAAGGATTGAAACACAACTACATCTCAGTCCTAAATAGGGGTCGACTACATGAGACTTCCACAACCCCACTCCACTTTGACCCATTTCATTCAAATTCTAGATAACTTTCCGTAATCAGAAGTTCTCTTATCTTACATGCATCCCTAAATGATGTAAACGTATTTAATTCAACTAAAAAGAACCTAGTGTAAATGTAAGAACAAGGACTAAACCTTGATCCCTATAAGCTGTGGTATAATCTAAACGGACACATGCTTCCTCTGTTCTATTCTTCAACAAAACACATTGATTCAGAGAGCCTCGCCCCCCTATTAATACTTCAATTATCAAGAAAGAATGAATTAAATGAAGAAATAAAGAACAGTTTACCACCCAACATAATAGTCTATTTTTTCTCTGTTACAATAATAATGAATAGATGGTGAACAGTAGGTTCATTTGGAATTTCGCCCATATAGCCATGGTTGATCTTGTGCATACCTATAAAGACCCAATACACCAAAATTCTTACTCCTGTTTTTCCTGAGACCTAATATTTCTGCTACTGCACATCAGGAAATACAACCCCTTGGTTAAAAAAGCCATTTTATCCTCGTCCTCACAAACAACAAGGAGATTCCATCCGTAGCTACCTTGCCATGATGAAAACTCTACCTTGCCAAGTCTTTGCAGCCACATTCTACTTTCCCTACAATGACTCCAGCACAACCTCAAAGTAACAGAGGAAGCTTTTCAGCGCCCTTGTTTCTTTTTACCTTTTTTTTCTAGGTTTATTGGTATTTAGGGGCAATTGTAATGCATGCCTATCCACAGAAAACTACATGGTAGGACATCTACTTTCTATTCATTTATAGATATAATAATAGATATAGGCAAAATTCAAGAATAAAGGTTAAATAAAATACCAAAAGACCACAGAATTCACTGAACGTATTAACAGAACTGTCCGCTCCACTAGGCTGAATTCATTATACACATAAAGCTAAAATCTATAGTCCAGACGACAATATATACTTAAAAATCAGAAATACTAGTTAAAATGTCATCAACTTCCAACACAAAACCTCCTTTTAAGCCCAATAGCTCATATCAATCATATACTCCTTAAGAGTAGTAAATATATCCCCTTCTTTACTCAATCATTCAAAGCTCAAAACATTAAATGGATAAACATGTTGTTGAAAATACCAATAGACATAATACATGATACAGACAAGAGGGGTTGCTCAGATAGTATATGTCCATTATATGCTTAACTTGTGGCCGTTAAAACGGGGGAAAAGTAGAAAGGTACATATGTATAAAAAGGATCCGATCCTCACCTAATAGCTTACATGTTGCCAATATGGCTCGAATGTGTTAATGGGTTGTTTATAAATATTGTATCACTTGATTTGTATAGTGTAGCTACTACATCTTATTATGTAAGGCTAAAACCTCTAACCTTAAGGTTGTGCATTCGACTCACCAACGAAGTAAAACTTGGAAGTTCCTAGGGAGGGGGTTAAAAAAGACATACATGATACAACTTTAACCTATAAATTCACATAGAAAAACACAATCTTGTTATATTAATAGCCCAAAATACACAAACTAAACAAAAAAAAGACAAATTTTAGCACAAATAAATCTGAAAATTTTCACAACAAACCAAAAACAAAGATTTGGCATAAGGAAATCGAAGATTATACCAGTTTTAACAACTGGGCAGCTCTTCTTGCATTCTTGGCGGCACTTCTTCGGCTTGCACTTGTCGGCGCTAACGATGGCGATACGCGTCAATCTATCCGACATGATGTCTCTATTTCACCGATCTGAATCCCAAATCCCTAAATTTCACCCAAAAAATGAAAAAATATTGAAATTGAATGGGAAAATTGCAGATTTGTTAGAGAGAGAAAGGAAAAATTATACCCTAAGAGAGAGAAAGGAGAGGAGTGTGGGTGGCACGGCTGTAATGGACACTTCAGCCCTAACAACGCTGGGGATAGCCGCCGATATCAATACTTTATATTTTTCTTAATTTTTATTTATAATGTATACTAGGTAAATTACCCGGAACTATTTTATTAAGCTTACATATGATCATTCGGTAATATTCATATCTTCAATACATACACTACATTGTTAAAGAACATTTTATCTTAAGGCAAAGCGTTCCTCTGACGTTTATAAAAATAGTTGGTCAGAAGTAATAAAATTTGCTAAATTCCAAAAAGTTATAAAGAACAACATCTAACGTTAAAGAAGAAATCAAAAAGCCTCGAACAACAACACTCCCAAAGTGGAACATCACGTCCATACAAGAACATAATTAAATAAACTCAAATAGAAGACCTTCAACTCCTTTCTTATGAACCTTCATCGATCTGATTTTATTATAGTATGATGTATCATGTATAGGTTAAAAATGACCCTAAAACTGTTAGTATCATAAATGTTTTTCTTCATTGTCTTAGAATAGTCATTATTATTGCTTATGTTTCATATCACCGGCCCCAACTTATTTGGAATTGAATCATAGTTATTGTTATGGTTATAGTATGTAGATACAAAGAATTAACACAATTATCAACCAAGCAATAGGTGACATCTGAATGGAACTGTTCACAACTGGATATTCTAAATCAGAATTTTGACACATAACATATTAAAATCTCACGGCATAATTTTGTGAGCACTTGAACTCGCAAAAATCCACAAATAATAATAAAGGCAACCTTACTTTCCTAGTAATCAAGAAGAAAAAGGCATGTTGCTTAACATATTTTTCAAAAAGATAGTCTATCATACTATATCCAAGTTTACAGTTCACAATTTAATTAAAATAATCCAAAAGAAAGAGTTGTTACTTTTATAAAATAAAACAAAAAACTTAATCGAAATAAAGAGTTATCACTACAGTAAAAATGATCTTTAACAGCAATTAATAGCTTAATTATCGCTAAATATGCATTTTTAGAGGCAATTGTTGCTCTCTATAAATGTCCCTAAAATTTACAACAACATTGAATCTAATGACAATTAATTAATGTCAGTAAAGGCTCTAGCACACTTTGTTAATTTGCATATTTATTGCCGATAAAAATTATTTTCGTTATAGTGTATTTTGGACATTTGTTAGTTTCAATAAAATTGGATCTCTTATTATGCCCAAAAAGAAAAGACGAAGAAATATGATAAACTACTTAACTTGCAACAAAAGAAGTGGACTGATTTTGTCTATACTAATATTCTAGGAATAGTGCAATGACATACGAATTGTTTGTACATAAGAAAAAACAATCAAAATAATATACTAATTGTGGCAAACAAGAGAGCAATCTATTTAGTTCTTTTAACAAACATCATCATTGGTTCCATATTTGTTGTTGTGTGCTATCAAATATAGCACAACCCACAAGCAATTTTCCCAAAAGGTATATGAAAAAACCTATATAAAGGGACAAAAGAGAGGATAAATTTTCAATTATCCCCACTAAAATTTTTAACAGAGTTCAAAAAAATCACCAAAATAGCAAATAGAAATTGCTATAGAAACATGAATCACTAATTAAGCTTCATGAAATTTGAGGAAGAAAACTTTGAGGAAAGAAACACACTTCATAAGAAATTTAATTAATGTATTTGAATTCGGCTCCCCTATAGAAAAAAAAAACATAGAAATTAAAGTTTTATTTACTAAAGAACCAAATATAATGAATTCAGCCATTTCAACAGCGTTATGAGTTGTGGAATGAAAGGTGCAAGAGTAGTAATGTCGCATTGAAATCAAAATCAAAATTCTTTATTTATATGAAGAAATCTATAGAAAGGGACAAAAGAAAAGATTATTTTTCAATTATCTTTGCTGAAATTTTAAACAGAGTTAAAAAAAAGTCACCGAAATAGCAAAAAGAAATTGCCATAATTACAAGATCACTATGACTTATAGTGAAGATTTAGCTCCATGAAATAGGGAAGAAAACTTTGAGGAATGGAACAAACTTCATAAGAAGCTTAATTAATGTATTTGAATTCGACTACCCTACAACGGGGAAAAACCTACAAATAATAGTGGCAGAAAATCCCTCTATTTATAGAGAACAAATGATATAGTGAACAAATGCTTATTGTGTCTTATCGAAAAAGTTACAACCCTTCGGAAAGGTCACAACCTTTTATTAAAGTTACAATTTTTCATAGAAGTCGCAACTCTTCATAAAAGTCACAACTTTTCATAAAATTCACAAATTTTGATATAAAAGTTGCAACTCTTTATAAAAGTCACAACGTTTCATGAAAGGGAAAGGCTAGTTTTGAAAATAAATAAATTTAAAGGGAATTCTGGCTTGTGATGGCGCTACGTAGGTGGGCCTAGGGTTCTCTTTTATATATATAGATATATATATATGATTAGGAAAAAACATTTAAAGTAAGTACTTAATTTAAAAAAAATAAGTAACTTATTATTTTTTTTATACATATATACGTGTTATAAAACTATATAATTTTGCTACGTTTTGTAATTATTAAGAACTATTGTTATAATAAAGAATAATGAGAAAGTAATATATGTAGTTAAGATAATTTTTTGACAATTTCTTCGAATAAAATATATTGAATTTTATGTTCGGATACTTTCAACTAGTTTCCTACTCTTAATGGATTGTTTTACACTAATTCGGCTTATTATTTCTTCATCCATGTTAAATTCTTCGAGATGGACTAACACATAATGTGACTTCAAAAATTATATTTACCAAATAAAAAAAATTAGAATTGGTTTTTGGCAATATCAAAGACTATACATGACTTCTTTCATATCTTTTCTTCATCATCGTGTCATTATTGTACATTAACTGAGTAAATCGTTTATGATACTTTATTTGGACGCGTCAAAGTTTATTATGTGTTGGATTTTCTTTGTCATTTCTTACAATTCAAATTCACCCCTCTTCTTTGGAGTCGATCTCATTATTCTTCTATGAACCTACTATTTATTATCACCGTATAATCTTTTCTATCTCATTTTTCACCCCATTTAAACTATGACATATTAAGCTAAATCGTAACCACAATTATTTCATCGATAACGTTTATATGTATCCATAACAACTATCTCATTTCACATCTATTTATCCTCACAACCTGATATTTCTTACAAAAAATTATACATATCAAATGGCATCTTCTAATCCATGTCACTACAAGCTTAACACTATTGGAGCTTTCGATCGCATCTCAAAAAAGGTGGTGCCGGAGGAAGTGGTTGTCTTCAAGAACAAAATTATAATCTCAGTTGCTCAAGTACTGCATTCGAATGTGAGTTTGCGATTTTCATGTTGAGTCTTCGCCTAACATGAGATTTGAATCTCTGTCCACAATAAATTAAGATAGATTCGTAGGTATTAACTCAAACACACACATGAACATCCAACTTTACTCATATATTATCTCATATTGCAAGTCTTTGATAACATCTCTGCATAGTACTAAGAGTAGACATCTATCGGGAGGTCAATCATTTAGTCGATATGCTAATTTAATAAACACGTTCCTCATTTTGAAGAATACCAATGGTGGTAATGCTACATTATATCGAGCCCACCAAATATGTACCTCATGTTTTCGATAAAGATCATTCTGGCACAATTTTGTCAAGTAAAATCTCATCTTATAACTATACTTTTTCAATTCATGCAAATAAATAAAACACATATTCTTTTTATAAAAAAAGCTACTGACAATTATTTTTTTATTTTTAATGCTTAATGCAATAAAATTAGTGTAAAAAAGTGTGTGAGAAAATTACCTTTACATTGGTGTGGAATAAAAATAATATCACAATTTGGTATAAACAATATGAATTACTAATCTAAAAATTAAAAAACATATGAAACTAAAAATGTAATTTATCTTGTGACATAAACAATTCATGGATTGCTAATTTCCTGATAGAAATTGAAATCATATTTATTTCAGGTTAACTAATATAAACATGAAAGAGTTATTTTTCTTTTATTTATTTTAGTCTTTCTTAAAATTAAAATCATCAATTCACGCGCCAAATATGCATGTAAATTCAATCGTATGAATGCCACACATGCTCAATCAACAAGCAGAACGGTTACAAGAGTGAGTTTTTTTTCTTCTTTTATTTACTTTAGTCATTCTTAAAATTAAAATCATCAATTTACACGGTAAAAATACGTGTGTGTAAATCACACATTTTGTCCAGTTCAATCATATCAATGTCATATACATAAGTTCGATTGACCATATAAAATATTAAAAATCCTAAATTTTGTAATATTTAAGTATTCAATTGACAAATTGAAAAAATACAAAAATCTAATTAATAATCCGAACCAAATATAAGATATCCGAGCTTATTCCAACCCCCTTTTTCTTACTTTGTTCCAATGTTTCATGTTCTTGTACTCTTGTAAGCGACCACACAAGTTATATTTGCGAGGCAAAGACTCATTTTTTATCAATTGCCCTAAAACCCTTTCCTTAATATATGCTAGAACCAGAAACAAAAACCAGGCTGCTGCAAAACCCTAGCACCTCTTCTCCCTCAGCAGCAGCTGCTCTGTTACTAGCCTTCAAGCCTAGGCAGGTAGTTCTAGCAGAGTCATCAAAATCCAATCTTGTTATGGCTAAGAAGGAGCAGAATCAAGAAAACACGTTTGGTTTACAACAATCTATACTCCATTATCTTAACCTCAATGGTTTCTCCAAAACCCTCAAATACTTTCTTAAAGAAACTCAAACTGAGGTTTGTTTTTCTTTTATATCCCCTTTTTTATTTTATAAAAATGTGATTTTTATCCAAGATTTTTAGAACCTGTCATGTTATATGTTTATTACTGTTGTTTGGAGCTAATGGGTGGAATTATTTAAGCTTTTTTTTGCCTCTGCCTAGGAAGTTCCACCCTTTTTACTCCATTGGTGACTCGAACTTGTAACCTTAAGGTTTGAGGTTGAGGTGGAGGTGGAGGGGGCTTACCATTCCAGCTACCCCTCTTGTCTTTAATGTTTCGTATAT